CCCCCCACCCCACCCCCAGGATTCTGAGCCTCCATGACTCCGAATCAGGACCATTTGCCAAGGGTCCAGGAGTCATGATGTGTGGACCACAACTGGAGTTAGATGGTCAGACCAGGCGGTGGACAGTGCTTCCATGGGGACAAAGACTCCACAACCCACCTGCCACGTAGTGTTGTACTTGTTGATATAGTTGACCATCTCCTCCGACAGGGGCTTTAAATACGGGCTGCCCCAGGCACTGGTCAGCACTGCCAGGCAGCAGAGGGTGGTCCAGAGCTGCTGCATTCTGGAAGCTGGATCCCGACTTTACCTAGAAAGAGAAAGACAAAGACATCAGGACAAGTCTGCGCAGGGGCGGGCAAATGGCTCTGGTGCCAGAACAGGGGGCTCTCGTCCAGACTCTGCCACTTGCCCCCGTGCAAGTCCTGCTCCTCACTGTCCCCTGTGGCAAGTCCTGAGTGTGCCGGCCAGCAGCAGCAAGGACCTGCGGCACCCCTGGCCACAGCGGGCTGGTTGGCTGGTGGCGCACCTGCCTGGGCGTGGCTTCCCCTGTACACCCAGGGCAGTGGGCCAGCACAGGGAAATCCAAGCAGCCGTGTTGTGTGTTGGGCGCACGGAAGGCCCGCTCCGTTTCGGGCCAGTGGGCCGTGGAGCTGTCGTCTCCAGAGAAATATGCTGGCTGCTCCAGTAGCCAAGAAGTCCCTCATGCGGCACATTCCGCGACGGAGAGCTACAGCAGGGGGCTGCAGACTGGGGAAAGCACTTGGTGTGTGGCACGCACAGGGCAGTGGGCCCCGTAGGTCCCGAGGGCGGGTCAGAGAGAGGAGGAGGGCCCACCCTCACCCAAACCTGGCTCCCTAACTGCACGTGCAGTCTATGGGATCCCAGAATGACCCTGTGGCCGATCCCATCCCATCCCCCTGCGGAATCTAGACCTTGCCCTGAGGGCAGACCCTGGCAGACACTACAGCCCCTCGGGGCTCTGCGCCAACCCCTCCCCCC